CCAACGAACGAGAACAAAGTATGAACACTCAGAAATTTTCAGAAGGACTGGAGGTGTTTTTAGCTCTAAAATACGTGAAGGATGTGTATAAACTTGTGTGTTGTTGTAAATCACCTGCCAGCCATTATATAGGAGGATTTGTTGTGTGAAAATAGTGAGTTAATGGACCTGAACGTTGGACATCAATGACCAGTCCGTTGGGCATTGAATCGTCCATGAACTGTCCATTTAACGCTGCATTAAAAGATATAAACGTTGGGCATTTATTGCTGTAACGGTTCAGAAGCCATCAGAAGACCCCTACGTAGTTCTGCCCATCCTTTATAAAGGGTTGCAAATCCCTTGGGTTTTCCGGTGTGGGAAATTAACACTAGAAACCCATCCTTTTTCCCAGTTTTTCCATTCTAACGAGTAAACTTCGAAAAGCGATTTCTCATTCACCCGTTATCTGTTTTGAGCGTACCATATATCGAATTGTAGCCCTTAACAAGGACAATCCGAAACCACTTTGACCCGACCCAAGTCGGAAGTGGACCCCACTCAAAAAATTGCCCCAAAATAGCCATTTAATGCAATTTTTAACACATTTTTCCAACAAATATGTCCTAACTAAACTGCGGATTCCTCGGTCCCGGTTTTTTCTCTCCCTATCATTGGGATTACATTATTATTGTAAGTTAACTAAATACTACTCCTTTCGTAACATTCATATCTTCCCTCTTTCTTTTTTTGGACCTAACATTTATATCTTCCAATTTCTAAATCTTCTCATCATACCCTCAATAATTTAAAAAATAATACACTATTACAATTACTTTTTTGGATTTATCTTCCAATCCCAGAACTCTATTTCATTATTTTCCTATCATACCCTCAATAATTTATATTTCTTTTCACTATTCTTAGTCTCACCCACTTTGGAAGTGGGAAGATATATGTGATACGGAGGGAGGGAGTATCTAATTACTCCTTATTATACTTTTCAAAACCTTTAAACGGCGGAGAGCAACTAGCGTAGCTTCGTGATAATCTTTTTTTTGTGATAATCCTTTTAATTGATAATCCTTTTTTTTTAATTGATGGGGCACCAATCATTTAAGAGTCAACGGTTACATTGTGTGCTTTTACACTTATTTTAAACTTCCAGCTTAAATGTGAAGACTATTAGACGAAAACGGAGAATCAAAGTAAATTAACCACGGGTAAAATGCACCAAACACCCCCATGTTATATAAATCATGCACATCATCCCTTTGTGTTTTGAAAAATACACAAAACCCATTTATGTTTTGTAGAATCTTGCACAAAATCCCTTAAAATGGGGGGAGTATAATGTGCGTGTCATACACTTGCTATTTGGTGTGATTTTTTTTATATCTAATTTCAGCTTCTTGAGCTAAGTAAATGGCAATTTTACCCGGCCTTCTGCATGAAATGGATAGCTCTCGTTTTTTGTGTGCATCTTCTTACACTTGAGATTAATATTATTTCAATCTATGTAATGTATGATAGAGCATATAAAATTTAGGATGCAAATCCAAAATTAAGTACTATCTTCGTTCTTAAATAAATACAACATGTTGAATTTTACACTATTTACACGTTCTACTTTGACTACGTTTTATTTATTAATGTATTAATATTTTTTATGAAAAAAATATTGTTAATTTATCTCATTGTAAATTTTCAAAATTATATATATTAATGGTCAAAGTAGTGTCTCGACAAGTGTGAAATATTGACCGTTGCATTTATTTAAAATCGGAGGAAGTACAATATTAGTTTTTCTTTAAGATCAAATAATTACTCTAATAAACAGACTGTGGTAAATTCATCATGATTACATATTGTTCCTTTAGACAATTATTTGTTTTCGCATTGACCAATTTTAAACATAAAAAAATAAGATAGGTTCATTATGTATAGTGTTTTAAAACATGATAAAACATAACTAGTTGATCTAAATTTAGTTTAACCTGCACTGATAAACAGAACTAGTGAATCAAGTTTTTTTGTCTAGTGATTATCAACTTTTTTGTGTAGTGAATCTCAAGTTTGAGTACATAGCATCAACTTCATTTCAAAACTCACAAATAAAAAACATCAGCTGAAATACACTAATAAAATTTAGTAATTAAACCTAGAATTATCAACCAATATAATCTAACTTTGGAATATAGATAGTATAGAACTATTCCTAATGACATCAAAGTTGTTTAAAGTAATACACACCCAAATATAACCCTAAGTTATAACTACAAGAAAAACTTCATAAATTAACCACAAATACAACTCAAATCAGATAAATAAAATAGAAACGGCACACAAAATTAGCATCACACATATGTAGTTGTGCTGAATTTATAAGATTCAATATTTGCACAAAATCATGCACATACCCGTAAGTTACTAGCATATTAGAATTAGGATGTTTTCTTTTGGATTGAAATTTGCTGGTCTGGGCTGGTCAACGTTTGGTCTCTGTATATTTTATAACTACGGAAGTCAAGTCTGGTCTGATCTGGTCAGGTCTGGTCTGGTCTGGGACTAAAAACAGTCCAAAAGAAAACATCTTTAGTAGCAAGCTGCTCTTATTTTCCATCACATATATTAAGGATGTTTTCTCTTAAATGAACTTGCTGGTCTGGTCTGGTCTGAACTGATCTAGTCTAGTCTGATAAATGTCTGATCTCTATGCATTTTATAATTACAGAAGTCTGATCTGGTCTGATCTGATCTAGTCTAATATGGTCTGATCTAGTCTGGTTTGATCTGTTCTAGGACTGAAAACGGTTCAAAAGAAAACATCATAATTAAGTAACCTATGGAGTTGAAGAATGACTAGAAGAATGGGGAAATTAAAAAAATTATTTGCTAATTGCTACCCTAGCCTATGTTATTATTCTTGCTCACGATGACTTTTTGGGTGGTTGAATGGTGTGGGTGGGTTTTAATCCATGGTGTGGGTGGGTGTTAGGGTTGGTTTGCAACTCCTTTTAAAAAAACACTTATCAGCTTTTGGCTTTAAAAAAACATTTATTTTCCCAAACACTACAACTTTTATTTTTCTCGGCTTCCGCGTCAAAAGTGCTTTAACTTTTTCTATTACACTAAAAGCACTTATTTTATCAAACATTACCTACTTTTACTTTTATTTAATCATTTTTCCACATTTCACTAAAAAAAGCACTTTTTTAAAAGCAGAAGCTGTTGCAAACAGACCCTTAATGGTGTGGGCGGTGTAATAGTGTCGTAATTCAATGGGGTATAAGAGGATATTTATAAAGTAGAACTAATCCTTGAATTTTATCTGCATATGGGGAAGGTGAGCAGGATTTATCAAAACTGAAGGGAGTTTGATGCTTTTTCAGTAACACAAGGGGATTATATGCATGTTTTATATTACATGAGGGGATTTGGTGCAATTTACCCAATTAACCACGCCCGCGTATATGCTCTTTAAATAAAGAGAATTTAAAGTGGTGGGAAATTTGGAACAATGACCAAGGTTCGAATCCCCGCAGCGGCCGAGTGGAGGTCACAGAACCTGAAATAAGGCTGGGCCTCTGGTGCGCACGGGTGCATGGGCCTACTGCCACTCTACTGACTGAGTCACCGTAACTTACATCCTCCCAGAAGCCTTGTCGGGTCGGGGCGTGGGGGGCGCTTGGGGTTGGCGATTCAACCTTTTGGAACAATAAAGAGAATTTAAAACATACTCCCTATAATCGAATGAAAGTTTCCTCGCTTTTGGCTGGCATTTTCAGTTAACCTTTTTTCACACACATCGTATTTTTCATTATCTAATCAAATAAAAGTTGATTGCCAGCTAATCTAATCATGAATCACTTTCTTTTCACTCGAATCCCGAAAAAATAATGAAAAGATAAAAAGTAAAAAAAAAATGTTTTTTATGATGATTTTAGTCGAAAAATATACATAATACTTTGTAATAAAAATCTATTCTTCAACTTTTTATTATATCCTACGTCTATATGCAGGGTGGAGTTAGGGCACTACACCGTATATAAAGAATATTTTTGAGAAAAAAATTATAAAGAATTTTTTATATTAAAAATATATGCATTTTTATAATTTTGGGTGGGTCGGGACTAGGCTAGCTAGTCAGTAGCCACGCCCTAGCCACGCCCATGTGTATATGTATAGTTAAAGATGAGAATAAATGAAGTGTTAGGTTGAGAATTATGTATTATGTGAAATAATGCACTATCACAAATGATAATATGCAATGATATTTGTGTATTATTTTAATCTTGACTAGCACTACCATGAATCAATAGTGTGCACTATTTTTGGTAATTTTCTTTTCTCACGGAAGAAATAACAACAGTAACAGTGCTAGTAAGTGTTGGAGGTATTCATCGCATCGAGACTTCTCTTTCATTTTATTATTAAGGCTTGCACACTATGTCTACTACCACTTTAATACCCTTTACATGTTAAGTCACTCATTACATGGTTTTGGCCCCTTTGGTTGTCCGTTGCAGTGCTCTAATTTGTCTTGCTTCACCCGTGACTGAATAATTCATCTGGCAGCCTATTATATTATGGAGCCTTCCTCCTTTGAATTAATTTCTCCTTTGTGCGAATGTGAACCGAGTGAAACACAAATATTACTGACGGAATTTCTTCCTTCTTTCTTGTTAGACCTCTTTGTGTGGGAATCCAAAATGAATGGATATGGCGAGAGATGGAGTAGTATAGTCAAAATACACTCAAAATACACTAAAGCATCATGCACTTGTACAACTTGTTTTAATCATTGTAGAGTTCATCATTACTCATAATTCTGCCTCATACCTCCGTTAATCCAACCGTTAAGTTTCCAATTTATGTTTTCATTTGTTTTTGCATTTTAACCCATATACTAGTATACTACATAGTATGTACTACTCCGTATATGTTATTAGGATAATAGCATTTTTTTAATCATCAAATTCAACTAATATATTAAATCAAAATGACGTTCGTCACATGGCTGATAGTACAATCAAAGAAAAAGAAGTAAACAAAATGATGAAAAGTCTTATTGTCTGTCGTCTGCTCTCGAACCAGACTAAGAATTCATCACCTCTGTAGAAGCAATAACATTCGTTGATCCTGTAATGGGCTTAACTGAGCCAATGACTGGCAAACCATACTTCTCATCACCTAACCTAAATTCAAGAATAACTCTGCTAGGAAAAAGGGGCACGTCCAAAACAACATGCAATTCGACAGAAAAACACAAACTGAATAAAACAGAATTAAAACAGAGTTCACCCATCTTCTTCCAAACCCTAGATTTGCTTGAACTCCATGGCGGCGGCTTAGGAGGGGGACGCGCCCGCCGCTCATCCACCACAACCTCAACATCAGCTTCATCTAGATCCAGTTCTTCTTCCTCTGCCCCAATCGCCATCTTCTTGTACTTGTCCACGAAGCTATCCATGCCAAACTATTGCTTTAACCTTCTGCCAGAAACTCTGAACCTGCTCCCACCTCCATAACCGGCGACGGACGGAACTTCAAATCAAAGAAACCTAGCAGGAAACAAACGACGATCAACCGCGCTCATTATAGCTACGGTAGACGCAAAATCAGCAACCGGTGCCGCGATCAGAGAGGTCCCCTAGGAAAAGCCCTAGGTGGCGGCGGAAAAGCCCTAGGTGGCGGCGGAAAAGCCCTAGGAAGCTAGAGAGAGAATTCAGTGGGACTAAATCAATTATAGATTCAATAGGATAATTGCATTGATTTACATTTTATGTTTTTATTTGTTTTTGCATTTAATTTTTGTTTCTACGGTTACTTTTATGTTATGTAGAAGATTTTTTTATCTTCTCCTTTTGGAATTAGGCATGGAGCCGGGTCAGGTCGGGCCCGGGCCGAGCCTAGGCCCGGTCGGGCCTTTTGTGGTTGGGGGAAGGCCCGGGACCGGCCCGGGTTGCCACCGGGTCCGGGCCGGGCCTCGGCCAGTTTCTGATTTTTTTTTCCTTTTTCTAATTAACCCCGACCCTCAACCCCACCCTCCAAACCACCCCAAATGGCCCAAAATACCCAGTCCAACCCGGGAAATTAAAAAAAAAAATGAAAAAAAAAAGCCCAAATCGGGCCTGGCCGGGTCTGGTTCTGGGTCGGGCCACCCGGCCCGAGTCCAAGCCTATTTGGAATACAATGACCGATACTCGGCAAAATTTTCAAATGGATTATGAAAATGATTACATCAAAACTACCCCTTTGTTATTAAGCTCTTGTAGCCACAACAATTTGACTGCATCTCTTTGTTAGTTGTTATGTCATACGGAGTATTATTCTTGTTACTTATTATTTATTCTTATTTTATTTATTCAGATCAAATCATGAAATTTCAGATATGATCAGATAAAAAAAATTCTGAAACGATCACATCAAATAGATTTAGACCATAAAAATAGAGATCAAATTAGATATCAAAAAAGTTTACACGTGATTTTTTACTTTTAATATTATTACTATTATTATTATTAATATTATTATTTTTGTTGTTGTGGTGGTTGGTGTTGTTATTATAATTTATTATTGTTGTTGCTCTTATTTGTGTATTATCAATATTTTCAAAGATATAAAAAATATAGGGAAAACTGTCAAATAAGTCCTTCAACTACGTAAGAAAAGACAATTAAGTTCTTGTACTTTAAAAAACACCCAATTGAATCCCGAACTCTTAAAAAAATGCTCAATTGAGCAGTTTAGTCGGTTAAAATCCGATTTCCCCGTTAACAAGACCATGTTGCGGCCTACGTGGCGTTTCTTCGTTTCTTCTTGTTTTCCTTTTTTTCCCGTCCTTCGTTTCTCCCCAGCACCTTCCACACTCCTTCAATAGTCTTTCCATCTTTCCCAGTTTGTATTCTTTATCCTGCTACACCTTCCAGACTCCTTCATCCAAGCTGTCGGCGCCAACACCCTTCTTCACCGCCTAGTTCCCCTAGCTCATGACCTCGAAGAGAGGCTTGGGTTACCTATGCTACTCTTGTCCCTGTCTTCGTCGGAGTTGTCATTGTGAGAAACACTCAATTGAATTGAAGGATGAACCACTGCCTGCTGAGCTTCCAGCCTCCATTAATGGAGAATGAACACCAAATGCAAGTTTAGAACCATTGATCAACTCTGATTTCTGCCAAATGAATTTAGAACGCACTTGAGGTTCCAATGCAGCCCCAATTGCTCATCAATGGCAGATTCAACCATAACCGAGCTTCTCAATCGCCATCTCTTAAGTTTGAGATACGCAAACATATGGGGATTAATTTCCTTACCTTTCATTAGTCATTGGAAGAGTATATATACATAATATGGTAGCCCTAAGTTACTCGGCCCATATAAGGTAAATTAGAGCTAAATACACAACTAATGACTAAATACAAAATGATACAAGCCCATATTGATTTAACACCCCCCTCAAGTTGGAGCATGTAGGTCACAAATGTCCAACTTGCGAAGAAGATAAAGGAATTGATTCTTTCCAAGTGCCTTGGTAAATATGTCGGCGAGCTGATCATGGGTAGAGACATGATGAGTAGTGAGTAGTCCTTCCTGCAAAGCGTCACGAACGTAATGGCAGTCAACTTCAATATGTTTTGTCCGTTCATGGAATACCGGGTTATTTGCAATATGCAAAGCAGACTTGCTATCACACATAAGAGGCATGGGACGAGGATGAGCAACACCGAGACAAAGAAGAAGACTTTTAAGCCACTTGAGTTCTGCAGTGATAGATGCCATGGAGCGGTATTCGGCCTCGGCAGAAGATCGAGACACAGTGTGTTGTTTCTTAGTCTTCCAGGAAATAGGGGAATTACCAAGAAAAATGACCCATCCGGAAAGAGAACGTCGCGTAAGAGGACAGCTAGCCCAGTCAGAGTCACACCAGCCAGAAAGAAGTAAGTCACACGATGAAGAGAGAAGAATACCCTGCCCAGGACAGCCCTTAAGGTACCGAACTACACGAAGAGCCGCTTGCCAATGCTCTTGTCGTGGTGCCTGCATAAATTGGGATAGAATATGAACAGCATAGGCTACATCAGGGCGAGTAAAGGACAGGTAAAGGAGCCTCCCAACTAGCCGCCTGTATGGCTCGGCATCAGCCAACAATTCCCCATTGGCAAGAGCGAGTCTGTGATGTTGTTCCATAGGGAACAAAACGGGTTTAGCCCCAAGAAGACCAGCCTCCGAAATGATATCCAGAGTGTACTTGCGTTGACAAAAATAAATGCCCTCAGCATTACGTGCAACTTCAACGCCAAGGAAATACTTGAGATGCCCCAAATCCTTCATATGAAAACACGTATGCAGATAATGCTTAAATGCGGTGATAGCATCCGTGTCATTACCCGCAATAATCAGATCATCCACATAGACAAGTACATGCAAGGTAACAGTGTCCCGGCACCAGGTGAAGAGGGAATAATCGGAGTAAGACTGAATAAATCCGTATCGGCGGAGTGAGGCAGCAAGTTTCGCAAACCAGCACCGGGGAGCTTGTCGCAACCCATATAGAGATTTTCGAAGACGACAAACCATACCAGGCTGAGAAGGCCGAAATCCAGGTGGAAGTTTCATGTATACTTCCTCCTGTAAATCCCCATGTAAAAAGGCATTATGGACATCCATTTGGTGTAGCTCCCAATTCCGAGCCGCAACTACTGCAAGGAACACCCGCACGGTCACCATCTTCGCAACAGGAGCGAAGGTCTCCGTATAATCAATGCCTTCCTCCTGATGGTTACCAAAGACAACAAGGCGGGCTTTGAGGCGTTCCACTGTACCATCAGAATGATATTTAATTTTATACACCCACTTGCTCCCAAGCGCCTTCTTGCCAGGAGGTAATGGCTGCATATCCCATGTATGATTGTCCTCTAAAGCCTTGATTTCACTTTGCATGGCAGCACGCCATCCGGAGTCTGTCATAGCCTCCCGAAATGATCGGGGCTCCATGCCTGCAGTAATAGCACCCAGAAATGCCCGATGGCGGGCAGAAAAACGATCACATGAGACAAAATGAGCTATAGGGAAGGACATACCTGAGGAACCGAGTGAAACAGGTGAAGACGGAGATGGGCTCAAGTGCTGCACATGATGTGTGACAAAGTCTCGAAGCAAGACGGACGTGCGTTTTTCGCGCAGACCGCGACCTAGTGCAATAGGAGGCTCGGCTTGACTAGCCTCATGCGATGTAGAGGATGTCGCGGCAGTAGAGACGTTCGGCTCAATGGGTGGAGATGATAAATCCTTATCAAGCAAAGGTTCCGTAGGAATAGCTTCAGAGTCGGTCGAGCCAGTAGCAACTTCGGCAAAAGGGAACTCATGTTCATGGAATAACACATCTCTAGAAACAAAAATATCACCTGTAGCATAATCATACATTTTCCAACCCTTCTTCCCATGAGGATAACCAAAAAAAACACACTTTCTACTTCGCGGGGCAAATTTATCATGCTTGGATTTGTGATCATAAGCAAAACATAAACAGCCGAATACTCGTAAATAAGAGTAATCCGGAGCATGTCCAGTCAACACCTCATAAGGTGTCTTTCCCCCAAGTAAGCCAGATGGTGTACGATTAATTACATGAACAGCAGTCAGAACACATTCACCCCACAAAAATATAGGAATATTGGCCTGAAACATCAATGCGCACGCCACATTTAAAATATGTCGATGTTTCCTTTCTACCCTTCCATTTTGTTGAGGTGTGTACACACAAGAGGTCTGGAAAAGAATACCGTTATCATCGAAATAGGGAATTAAACCCTTGAATTCAGTCCCGTTGTCACTACGTACAATTTTCACAGATCGACTAAATTGTTTTTCAATCATAGCCACAAAGGACATAAAAGATTGACACACCTCCTTTTTGTCACGTAATAAATATACCCAGACAGATCGGGAAAAATCATCAACCAGAGTTAAAAAATAAACAGCATCACAAGTAGAGGGCGTGTTGTAAGGTCCCCATAAATCACAGGGAATTAATTCCAAAATACTACTAGCTTTATTGTCACTATGAGGAAAAGAATCACGAACTTGTTTAGCTTGTGGACACACCTCACAAGCTTTATTCAGTTTCTTAATAGCAGAACTAGCACTAATAACATGAAGTAACTTGACAACACGATCTGAAGGATGGCCCAACCTTCAATGCCACAATTCAAACTCTGTCACAGACTTCACAGTAACAGCATGCACAGTAGAAGATCCTCGAAAATAAAAGAGCCCATCTCTTCGTTCACCTGCTCCAATCGGGTTCCTCGAGCGTGGGTCCTGTATAGCACAGATTGAATCAGTAAAAGTAACCACACATTTTAACTGGTCAGTTAATTGTGAGATAGAAATAAGGTGACACCGTAAACCAGGCACATATAAAACATGATCAAGTGTAAAATATTTGGAGATGCCCCGGTGTAAACCAGGCACCGAATAGAAGTAATCTCGGTGAGCCTAGCCAATTCACCGGTAACATGATGGGATGCCCCGGTGTCAAGTATCCAGTCCAAATGAATATTCTTACCAGTCATACGATCAGTGGCACTAGTGTCGGAGGTAAGAATATTTAAAATGGCCTGCACCTGATCTTTATTCAAACCCCGCAAGCCACCTGCCTCACTCCCCGAGCTACTACTGCTCGAGTCAGCCGGCACCAGAATTGGTGCTACTGCATGTGCCCGTGCTCCTCCTCCGCGCCCTGCAGACGTCCCAGGATTGTTCTTTGTCTTGGTGCGTTCTTCCCACCACTCGGGATAACCATGAAGCTTGAAACAGTTTCCTACTTCGTGTCCACGCTGCTTGCAATGAGAGCATTGCAGTTTGCTTTTCTCGGCCTTACCCTTAGGTTGCTCAACCTGCAAAGCAAAGGCATGATTGTTTGGAGGAAGATTCTTCCCACGTGCCACAGCCCTAGACCTCTCTTCCTGGAGAAAACATTGGTGCGCCCTACTAATATCTGGCAGCGGGTTTTGGGACAGTAAATTAGATCGCACAGTACCG